TTTGATTTGAATAATTGGTTAATTATCCATGGTGATAATATTCATTTGCGAATTATGATAAATTGACTATACAAATTATAGGTTGGATAATCAATTATGTGTCAATGGTGATAGTCCTTTTCATTTCTAAATTTGATCAATTGTTCATACATAATACAAGTTGGATAAATGGATAATATTTAAGTGTCCATGGTAATCATTTGTAAATTTGATCCATTGATCATATAGATTATAGGTTGGGTAATTATTTAATTCATGATCACTACAGGTAATTAGGTCAGACTAATGGTAATATTCATGTTGGGTAATTATTTAAAATTTGTAGTATATCAGATTGGTGATAATGGGGGGGGGGGGGTAAATGGGTGGATCCTATGGAATTGCAATAATCTTGCACTTAGCCATTGGTACAATGGGGCCCATGGAAAACATTTTTTAAGAGAGTATTGGTTAATTACCTAGGTAAACCATCTTTTGAAAACTCAAATCACATGGATTCTTATGCCTTATTTGGGTAACATTTTGCCCAACTAAACGCTATATTTATGAGTACTTGAGCAATGTTTTCCTAGGAATCATTTGCTCGGGGAAACACGTTACTCGAGTAATGCAAAATATATGAGGCTTTAGTAAATTTGTGCTAGACCAAATTGCTGAATTACATGGTAAATTTGTACCAGATTAGTTTGAATGAAATCAGATTGAATTGGATCATTAGATATTCAATTCAGAACTCTTTCAATTAAATCGATTGAATCTTTACTAAAGAATATCTGAAAAATAATTTGAGTAGTATACGAATGAGGGAAAAATCTGACAAATTTGCATTATATAAATTTTTTATTGAATCAAATTCAAATATACTATGTTCTAATTTACGATCCGATCCAACTATTTGCACTCCTACCAAACAACTGTATCTTACACGTAGGTAAAAGTTTAGGCCTTTGATTCCATAGTTTTGAAGATCTTGATACTAAGAATGGTTATTCCTAGGGGTGAGCATGGGTTAGTTTAGTTTGGTACCATGGCATAACTTGGAATGTAAGGGTCGGTTACATTCTGGCCTTGGCGGTTTCATGGTTTTAGGGTCAACCCGTAGAATTTGTTTGTTCTTTGCTCACCCTTCAAACAAAGTTCTTTCTTTTTTAGGAAAAACTTGATTTTCAATAAATATAATATATGGTATAAAACTTATGTTATCTTTATTAATAAATTATGTAATACAGTATGTAGATTATTATAATATATTAATATATAGCTCAAAACTTATCACTATAATTTAAATTTTGTAAATATTAACTTTTTACATTACTTATTATACACATTCAAATATTAGAATAAAAACAAATGATTAAGGCAGTGTTTGGCATCGGTGTCGTTTTTTGAGAAAACGGTGCCATGTAGGCGTCACATCAGAGAAAATGGTGCTAGGAACAATGGAAGGCCATCTGGTTATGTTTTTCCAAAAAATTGGGACAAAACGACCATCCCTTGGAAATCGAGAAGACATGGTTGGAAGTAATGAGAAAATTGACATTTTCCCAAATTACTTACCCTTGCTACTAACAATGACATGATGAGGTGATTACTTGGCATCTAATGTGGCACAACTTTGAACTGATATGGTGCATCTCAATGCACAACAAAATTTGTTTCTCACCTGTTAAACAAACCCTAACACGGTTTGTTTTCTTMCCATTGCTATTGCTCTCCCAGCCTGCAGCAGACGTCAAACTCATTGCTAGAGGCCGGACTTTTGTTGTTTTTAGCCATTGAAGGCCAAACTTCTTCGTTTTCAAATACTGGAGGTCAGGTTGCTATGTTCAAACCATTTGTCTTTCTCTTTGGAACTGTTGAGGTCAGGCTATTGTTATTGCTCTCCYAGTCAGTAGTAAATTTCGAACTCATCCTTGGAGGCCGGACTTCTTATTGTTTTCACCCACCAGAGGTCAGGCTACTATGTTCAGACCATTTTGTCTTCTCTTTAGAATCGCCAAGGTCAGGCTGCTGTGTTCAGACCATCTGTCGTTTTTAGCTGTTGGAGGCTAGACTTCTTTCCACTGCAGTTTTTAGTCGTCAGAATTTCTATTATGGTTATTTTTGTATCATCAATTAGAGGACGATAGCATATACACATGAGAAGCACTAGATAATGGGTACTGGGACGGAAAATGGACATGAACCATTGATACCAAATAGAAGGCGGTGCTGTTTTCTTGGAAAACATCTTACCTAGCAACTTTGTTTCCAAACAAAAAAAAAGCAAAAATGGTGCTTACAACATTCCCAACAACGATGCTAAACACCTACTAAATCATTTAAGTAACTTAATGGTCAAGTGAGATCATAACCTTTATAACCATGAATGCCGAGGTTCAAATCTTCACATCCTCAAAAATATTTTAAGATTTATTTCAAGGCAAGTTGGGTTCTAAGACTGATTCCACCAAGGCCAATTAAGACCAGTCATTCGATTGGTTCAGGTAAGATAAACCCTTAACCTGGAAATGGATTGAGTGTAGCCCGATTCCAACAATTTGAAACCAGGGTCCATGTCGGTTCAACGCTAACTACTTATTCCAATCCAACGGGTATCAATAACTTACATATCATGAATTTTCTAAGAATAGAAGATAGAAGAGAGAAGAGGAGGAGAAGAAGAAAAAAAGGGAAATTTTCTAAAATTCACCATGAGTTTTCAACATTTCTCTTAAACTCACCACAACTTTTCAAAATGTCTAAAACTCACTATGTCAGTAAGTTTTTATTTTCCAAAACTCACTTTCCGTTGGTGCACCATTAATGCTTCTTAATAGAGGCTTCCACGCCAGCATAAATAACAATTTTCATGACCAAATTACCCTTAAATGGCAAGTTAGAGGAAAATGGTGCACCGTTATCCAATCTTTATATTATTCGAGTTTTTTTGTCTTTTTCAGTTTTTAATTTTCTGTCTTTTTTTTTGCATTTTTAGTGTTTTGTTATAATTTCCAATGTTTTTTATAATTTTTGTTTTTTACATTTTTCTATTTTTTGCAATTTATAATTTTCTTAAATTTTTTATTATTTATTTGTGATTTATGTGTTTTTCTATAATTTTTGATAATTTGTCTACAATTTTTATTTTCTGATTTTGTTTTTCAATTTCTTTAGTTTCTATAATTTAAAAATATTTTTTTATTTTATTTGCAATTTTTATACATTTTTATATTTTTTATAATTTCTATGTTTTTATGTATTTTATATTTGAAAATATTTTTTAAACCTTTTCTTTTTTTTCCTTAACACCTGGTCTATTTAAATTAGTGATTTAGACATTTTGAAAAGTTGAAAAGTTGTGGAGAGGTTAGAGAAATGCGGAAAACTTATGGTGGACAATTGAAAGAAAAGAGAGCGAAACAGAGAGAGAAGAAGAGAGTTCGCATCTCCACCCCATCGCCTCTCGCCCCACAAACGCCCCACACGCCGAGCGTCCGCCATCTGTCCTTCAACTTCTCTTCGTAATCATCCTCCGCACTCTGGTTATCGTCCAACTACTCCAGCACCCTGAGGAACATGACCCTAGCCTTGGACCAATTGCTGTTTTCTCCCTAAGATCTGATGTAGTTGGAGAGAATTGAGTTTGCTTCGCTTTCTATACCCTTGAGTAACTGCTCTTTCTCGTGCAAGATAAGATCCACAATGCAGCCATCCGCCGTTTCCCATGCCTTAGCTAACTTCCTCTCTGGCCCAACCCTCAACCATTGCAGCAGTCTCCACAGAGGCTTTGGCGTCGAAAGCCTGAAAAGTATGGCTTCTTGATCATCATCAATGGCCTGCGAAAGCACGTCGGAAGGGAAATCTTTATAAAGACCCCCCAAATCTTTGCCGGAGATGGTAATGTTAATGACGTCGAAGGTGAACCGCATGATCAGTTCATGCAAATCAAGGGTAGAGACTTCCCTGGCCGCACGAGCTAGCAGGGGTAGAAGCTTCTCGTCGACCACCTTTTGGAGCGTGTCATTGACGAATCTTCGGAACTGGATCGTACTGAAGATGGATTTTGCAGTCGTCTTCTTGAACAAATCCATGTTCAGCTCTTCAAATCTCGSCCTCGTCAATGGCTCCGAGAAATCGACGCCATCAAAAGGGATTCGATCTCGACGCGGACTTGGTGCTAGCTGCTCAGTGCTCGCTTGGAGCGTTTGCACTCCCAACAGAGCTTTCCTAGAGCTTTGTTGTCCTTGCTGATGTCCTTCTTATACTTCTTCTTGATCAACTTGATGAAGTAGTTCATCACTCTATGGTCGAAGTCTTCTCCTCCCAAGTGGGTGTCTCCGCTGGTAGCGAGCACCTTGAATACACCATTGTCGATTGTCGTCAAGATGCTGGCATCGAAGGAGAATATCTGGTCAAGCTGAGCTCATCGGAGCAGTCGCCGCTGCCGGAGAAGGAGAGCTCGAGTGAGGGAAGAAGAACGGAGTCAGGGGAGGCCAGTTCAAGCATGCGGAAATATAGAAATAAGTAAATGGGGGGTTTTGATTCGGTTTTGGGCTAACACGCGGGAATGCCGATCACGTGTGAAAGGACAGATGGTGGACACTCGGCGTGTGAGGCGAGAGGCGGTGGGGCGGAGATGCGAACTCTCTTCTTCTCTCTGTTTCGCTCTCTTTTCTTTCAATTGTCTAAATCACCATAAGTTTTTCGCATTTTTCTTAAATTCTTCACAATTTTTTAAAATGTCTAAAATTCATCATATCACTAACTTAACGTTAAATAGAATAACAGGTATTAATATATTATTATTTTAATAAAAAAGTTTTAAAAATATTTTTAAATATAAAATACATAAAAATATAAAATTACAAAAAATATAAAAAATTATAAAAATTTCAAATAAAATAAAAAATTATTTTATAGAATTTGAAAAACAAAATCAAAAAATAAAATTGTAGAAAAAATATAAAAAATTATAAAAAACAAATAAATCGCAAATAAATGACAAAAATACAGGAGAGCGAACGAGAGAGAGAGAGAGATTTTATTTCAAGATAGAGAGAGAGAGAGAGAGAGAGAGAGAGCGAAAGAGGGAGAAATGGCGTCGGCGGCGGGATCAAGTGCGGCGGTGCCGTTCTGGAGAGCAGCGGGTATGACGTACATTACGTACTCAAACATCTGCGCGTCACTAGTACGTAACTGCCTGAAAGAGCCATACAAGACAGAAGCTCTTACCCGGGAGAAGGTGCATTTCGCCGTTTCCAAGTGGGCCGACGGCAAACCCCAGAAACCCAGTAAGATCCATTCTCACTTTCTTCTTCAAATCCCTTCTTTTCCTCATCTTTTCTGGATTCTTGTGTAGTGTGTATTCGGAATGAAATCTAATGTTCTGTTTGTGGATCTCTCTATTAGTTTTACCCGAGATCGTTTTGAAAATCTCATGCTGTCTGAATTGCGAGATTCCTGATTGTGTCGATGGGCTCTGATTTTCTTGTTTTCAATGGTTTTATGTGGTCTTTCCAGTTGATGGCATTATGCAGAGATTGCTTTTCTTAGCATACTGATTAAACTTGGAACGAGTTTATAGTAAACTATTGAGGGGTTTGAATTAGCTGAATTGCTCTTCTGTTATTATGATATTGTGGCATATTTCTGGTGAAAGGAGTGATTCTACTCTGTGTATTGGTCGCGGAAAAATTATTGTCTGAGATAGGATGCAAATTTATAGGAACTTCCTGTAGATTGTCTGAGCCTATTTATGTATGAAAGGAAATTCCAGTCAAATTTGTGAGGTTCCGAAGTTCTTTGGATTTGACTCATAGATGCAAGAAAGTATCTTTTAGCAAGAAATCTAAGTAAAATTGGGTTCCAAAGTTCTAGTTGTCGAAGGCTTCTCTTAAATAAGTGGTGGGGGTTCTATGTGTACAATTCTAACTCTTCTCTTTCATATTTCTTTTATCTTTTTAGTAAATATGCGTTTTCCTTTAGTTGATTCCAACCTGCATGAATCCTTCCAAGATCTTGAAATGGTGCTTCCTTGCGGGCTTATACCAACAGAATGGTGTCAGAGCTTGTAAATGCACTTCGTTATGTTTTCTGACTTGCCCAATTTTGTTTTGAAAAAGGACAATCAGCATTTCCTCTTCAAACAAAAATTGTCTATGCCACATATATGCCATCCTAATTTTGCCTCCCCTCTCTTTAAAAATAAACAAAATGCGAACTTTATCTGTTTTGAAAAAGGTTCTGTGTGTATTATTGTTGCCCATGTCTATTGACCGCAATTTTGTTATTGTTGGCTATCTAAAAAATTGAAGGAGATTGAGAGTAAAACTTCTGTGGTCAACATTTTCTCATAAAGTGCTGACACCTGAACATGCCATCTGACAAAAGTTCATGTGCATAAAAGTGCAAAAGTATCAGTAATTGGACAACAACCCCGAATGGGATTCAACTAACATAAAAATACTATTAGATGGGAACTGTCTCCAAATGTGATCCTAGTAGCAACTTGGTAAAGAATTTAAATTGAGGCTGATAAAAAGAAAAAACTGTAAAGAAGGATTATTTTCTAGGCCTTGTCCAATTCTTTTTGTTTTATAGTTATGGCCCATGTGGCCACACTGTCGAAGTGCCTATGTCCTTCAAAAACATCTCAAAGAATTGGTCAGCAAATTTGAATTGCCATTACCATATGTTTTATTTAACGTTCTCATTATTAGTTTTCAAACTGCTATGGAGATTGACTATTTTTTTTTTGAAGCTGTTGTTACCATGTTTTATTCAATGTAGTCATTATTGGTTGTCAAACAACTATGAATATCAACTTAAGGGATAAAATCACTATTGTGAGTCATGAAGTGGCTTCCAATAAGGAAATAGAGCAAAATACAGTGAAGCGAGCATTAAATAGATAAACGTTTGTTTAAGTTTTAAGGTTGATGATGTGGATTGGAAGGAGTTTCAATACACAAAATGGATGAAAGCGCACAATAAAGATCATATCCAAAATTGAAGTCCATGGTTCAAAGGGCTGAGTTCTTGGTTTGTCAATGAAGAAGACTCTATTTTTGTTGAAGATATAGAATAGGCAAGTCCTTTTTTTAACGGGGGATAGTAAAAAGCAGTTAGGTCCTCAGGAACTGAGGAATTTATAAAAACTTGAAAGGTTCTTTCTGTCAGATTTATTTTAGAACAGAGAATTTTTAGTCAAATTTGTAAATTTCTAAAGTTCTGGGGACTAGCTCTAGAATTTGACTATAGATCTATACTTTCTTGGTTCCATCGAGTATAGGAAGTTGAAGTATGACGTTCAGTAGAGTAGAGTTGTAAAGTAAGATTGATTCTGAAATTCTAATTACGAAAGGTTTATCTATTGTGGGAGCTCCATATGGAACCCTTGTGTCATATAACTCTAAGTCTCTAACTCTTATTCATATTTCTCAACTTCTTTGTTAATTGGTTTTATTCATATGTATTTTATTGTTTAGGAGTTTTATCCAGGTATTGCCATGCATGCATCCTTCCAAGATCCTAGGCTAGCACATTCTTACACCAATAGAATGAGAAAATGTTGGCCATCAAAATTCCTTTCTCAATCTCATTCCATTTTTTAAACAAATAACCATTAATACCATTCTGTTGGTACAAGAAAGTGTCAGCCTAGGAGCTTGGAAAGATGTGGACATGGACTTTTTTACCCTGTTCTTGGGTCTTTACAGCCCACTTTGGTCTCCCATGGAGCTCCCAACATGTGTCACGTGTATGTCTTGAACGACGGCAGTGGGTGCAGAACAACTTATCCTTATCATCGGCTTTCCTAGAATCATTTTTCTTTCCCATATTATTTCCACCCATGGCAGCTAATGCTACCTGTCCCCCCCCAACATGTGCCACGTGTATGTCTTGAACGACTGCAGGTGCACAAGACCAGTCCTCACACCAGTACTACTTCTAATAGTCACAATTAAGGCACAAAACTCCACACACTGCTTCTGAAAACATGTAAACACTACTGAAGGGCTACTTGCAGCAAATAAACAGTCCAGAAAGAAGAAGTATACTGCTGTAAACTCCACACTTCACATACCAATTTAAAAACAGTACATACCTGGACAAAGGGGATCACACACCCCTGTACGAAGGTACAAAAACACAACTAGGCCTTCACAGCATCAGCCAAAGGTAGAAAAGGAAGCTTCACAGCATCGGCCTCCTCCAACTAGGGTTACCTTGGTGCTATGACCAAGGAAGGACCCAGAAGAAGCGACAAAAGGTATTTCTGATCAGTCCAATTAGATTTTTTTTTTTTCACAGTCCAAGAAATCTGACGCCTGGGTTGAATGGATACTTCTCAGCAGAAAACACAACTCCTATTGCCCAGAGTTGTGCTTTGATACCATGTAATCTTACAAGAAAAGGAAGAAGAGAGAGGAGAGAAGAAAGGAGAAGAAAAGAGGAAGAAAAAAATATGTGAAAGTTAAAAGTATTGTGCTGGCGGCGCTCGGCATCTATTTTATCTTAATGTGTTATAACAAAATAAAGAATAAAGAAATTACAAGTAGGTCCCTGGCGGCACACCTAAAAAGAAAGAAAGAACATGCTGACAGCATTCTAACAGCAGAAATAAAAAACTTAAATCTAACAACATGTAATAAGGGAGATAAGACAGTTGATGGGGGAGTTGGAGGCTACTTTTACTTGGGTACAAAGATCAGAAAGCTGATCTTGGGTACAACAATGGCGTGCATCCCCAAGTCAAACGCCTTAATCCTTGCAGCAGTACCTTTCAGGAAATTATCTTGGGTCAAACTACAGGCCTACAGAGACCGGATTCTCTGTTACAATTGTGATGAGAAGTTTGGTCCAGGCCACAAGTGTAAGGCCCAACAACTGTTTTTACTGCAAATGTAACTGAAGATGGGTTAAGCCCACCTCAGATATCCTTACATGCCCTTACAAGCCTTACATCATTCTAAACTATGATGGTTTTGGTATTGATAGACGGTGGAAGTATACTTGATTTTGTGACTCAACTCACAGCCAAACAAGTGGGCCTAGTCATCCAAGATGTTACCCTACTTGCTGTCCACGTGGCAAGTGGCAACCAGATCTGGTGTGACAGTGTGTGCAAACATTTATCCCTCAAGCTACAAGGACAGTCTTCATAGTTGATCTACATCCACTGGACTTCAGTGAAGCTAATTAGGTTTTAGGGGTCTAGTGGCTAAAGCAGTTAGCACCCATGATTTATGACTGGTCACAACTGACCATGGACTTCTGTATAAACGATGTAGCATACCTATTGGAGGGCTTGGTAGCAGGGGCTCCACAACTTGAAGGGTGGAAGACATTACTCAAGAGTCATGCTAAGGGGGTAACCAGCATATTTTTATGCACCTGGGCTTGGACCCAGCCAGCCCCTTTCTCACAACAGCCACTGATTAAGCAATCAATCAAGAGGCCCATCAAGCTCTTGCAATCCTATTCAGATATTTTTGAAGAGTCCAAGGAGTTAGCACCATCTTGGCCCATGGATCACTGTATTGAAATAATGCCAAGAGCACCACCAACCAATGTTAAGCCGTATCATTACTAATATTTTCAAAGAGAAGAAATGGAGATGATTGTATAGGAGTTACTGGACAAGAAATTCATCCAACCCAACTCCAGTCCATATTCAGCGCCAGTACTCCTAGTAAAAAAAGACAGATCATGGAGATTCTGTGTTGATTACCAGGCTCTAACCCAGAGTGTGGTTAAAGACCATTTCTCAATACTTCTCATTGATGAGTTTATGGATGATTTGCAAGCTGCCATAGTATTCTTTAAACTTGATTTGAGGTCAAGTTATGATCAAATAAGAATGCACACAGCTGATGTGCCCAAACCAGCCTTCCAAACACATGACGAACATTTTGAATTCCTTGTTCATGCCGTTTGGCTTGACAAATGTGCCATCCACATTCCGGGCCATCATGAATGAAGTATTTCGACMTCACTTGTATTGCTTTGTTTTTGTTTTTTCGATGGTATACATGTCTACAGTGCAGATTGGGCCTCCCATTTGCAACATCTATCCATCACATTGGTCTTACTACACCAACACAAATTATTCTCTAAGGAATCAAAAGTGTGTATTTGGGCCACGTAGTGGGGGCGGGTCAGGTCATGACACCCTAACAAATTCAAGTGCATCAGACAATGGTCCACTCCTATATCTTTGAAGGCACTTAGGGGGTTTTTGGGCTTTACAGGATACCATAGATGGTTGATTCCTCAATATGGGCTCCTAGYAGCACCCCTTACACAATTGTTGCACAATAATAGCTTCCAATGGTCTCTCCCAGGCCCAACGGGCTTTTGAAGAATTAAAACATGCAGTGTCTACACCATTAACACTTTGTCTTTCCAATTTCTCAAAGCAGTTTGTCTTGGAATTGACACATCAGGGGGTGGTCTTGGGGCAGTGTTAATGCAAGACGGAAAACCCTTGGCTTATTTCAGTAAGTTTCTCTCCCCACATGCCCAGCCTCAGTCAGCTTATGAGAAGGAACTCATGGTTGTGGTTTTATCAGTGCAAAAGTGTTGAGCCTACCTTCTAGGCCATCAATTCATTATACGTACAAATCACAAGATTCTGAAATTTTTGTTGGAGCAAAAAATCCATACACCAGAGCAACAACGTTGGGCCCATAAACTGCTGGGGGGTGATTATATATTTGAATACTAACCTGGTGTGGTTAACATGGGTGGCCGGCGCACTCTCATGCATTGCTGAGTTTGCCCAGCTTGCCATGTGCATACCAGATTATCCATTGCTTGACAGTCTTAAGAAGGAAGCCCAAGAAGACCCGGTTCTCAGCAGGATCCATGAGAAGTGGGCTCAAGACCTATCTTCAGTCCCAGGCTATTCAGTCATTAACTCCCCTTTTTATAAAGGTGGGCTAGTTATTTTGGCCACGTCAGCGTATTTGCATGACATCCTCACTCTCTTCCATAGCTTGCTCTGGGGTCTTCAAAACATTTAAAAGATTGGCAACCCATTACTGCCGGGCTGGCACTTGGCATGCAGCGGATATTAGGGACTTTGTTACATCCTACCACGTCTATTGATTTTATCACTGAGTTACTTGTATCAAAAGGGAAATTTGTTCTCTTTATGGTCATGGACCAACTCTTAAACTATGGCTATTTCATCATCTTCATCCACCCATATATGACAATTGACAACCATGGTAGCTGAACCATTTGTGAGCAAAATCACATGACTTCATAGCACACTCAAAGCAATTGTTTCAGATAGTGACCCTGCATTCCCAAGTAACTTTTCGAAGGAGTACTTTAAACTTCAGGGGTCTGAGCTGATTCACTGTACGAGCTACCACCCTCAATTGGATGGTCAAACTGAGGTGTAATAGGTGCATTGAGACTTACCTCCTCTTTCCACGTCACAGCTGGCATGTCTCCATTTTGGGCCCTCAATGGCTGTGATCCACCACCAATCCTACCATATGAAAGGGGATCTTCTGTCAATGCAACAGTAGATGAATGGCTAGCATCCAGAGATTATCTTCTTAGGGAGCTTAAGGCCCATTTGGTGCGGGCCCGACAGCTTATGAAACAGCATTATGACAAGAAGCATAGGCCCATTGAGTTTCAAGTGGGAGACGCTGCCTACCTGAAGCTGCTGCAACCATACAAGCAATCTTCAGTGGTCCTTTGGTCTTGCCGTAAGTTTTCATGTTTCTATGGCCCTTTTTAGTTCCTACAGTGCATCGGGCCTTTGGCATACAAGCTAGACCTCCCAGCCAACTCACATCTTCACCTGGTTTTCCATGTGTCATTCCTTAAGAAGGCAGTGAGTCCACCTAGTGTGCCTTCTCCCATGCTGCCTGACTTTACTGAAGATGGATGGATCCACTTGCAACCTAAGTCGGTGTTGGATTACTGCTGGGTGAAGAATGGGCGACTTTCACTAAAGAGACCTTAGTGAATTGGGTGCGCTTTCCAGCAGAAGAAGCTACTTGGGAACCATGTCAGGCCTTAGACAGCAGTTCTCTTAGCTGGGCCTTGAGGATGAGTGCCATCCTAAGATGGGGGGAGATGTTAGGGATGGAAAAGATCAGCCAGGGAAAATGAAGATTTATTCTAGAAGAAGATGGAGAAGGCCATGTCAGCATAACGGCCTGACTAGCCAAGTTGGCAAGTTGTGAATGAATTAGTTAGTCAAGTTGCAAAGCTGATATGAATAGGTTACAGTGGTTACATGTAGTTGAGCAAATGTATAAAAGAAGGATTGTATTCTGAATTGAAATAAGGAAACATTTGTGTCATTTCTCTCATTCTCACTTCTCTGTTCTTGGAGGAGGAAGCTCCACCTTGAGGAGCATGAGTTGGGAAGATTCCCAACAGATTCACAATCAGTCATATCCTGGACCAAACAAGTCAATTCAGCATGGAACTATAGACATTTCAGATAAGCTGACCTCCTAGGAAAGAGAATTAATTCTAAGTTCGGCCGGGTGAGAAGAACTGCAAACAGGATGGCAGATATATTAGCAAAAGCTGCAAAACAGGGGAGTTGACAGACCTCTTTTATTCTGGACCCAAATGTAATCTGATATAACTAAGGCTGGTGGGAATATTCCAACAGTTGTACTACAAAAAAGGGCAGCCCAGTGTGCATGAGGCTCCCCCCAAATGCAGGGTCTGGGGAGGGGCAGATGTAAACAGCCTTACCCCTGCACATACAGAGAGGCTGTTTCCAAGATTTGAACCTGGTCACCCAGGTTGCAATGGAGCAACCCAACTGTTGCACCAAGGCCCACCCTCTTGTACTAAACCTCCGTTTTAATTAATTAATGAATTTTCTGTGCTGGTCAAAAATAAAAAAAAAGAAGAATGTATCCTAATCAATCCAACTTCAGCTTCAGCCATTAGGGAGCTTACAACCTCCTTAATTTCACTAAAAGACAACGTAGCAAGTTGTTCAGTTCAGCCATTTCATCTGTTAACAAGTGGCCCCTTAATTTTGTCTTTTCTGTTAACAAAGCCCTTCTGGTTTTGTGGTCAAAGGGGATATAAGTTATTAGGTAAACCTGAGGGGTGGTTTAAGTAATTTACCTGTTTAAATATCTTGTGGAGTATGTTGTAGTTTATTGCTTGGAAAATGGTGGTAGAGAAATAGGGGTGGGAAATGGTAGAAGTACATTTGGTACATGGTTGTGCTGTTTGCTAAGAATCAAAAAAGCATATTATTTGTTTATGCATGGATTTAAACTGAAGATAATTCACTGGGTTAAGACATTGGAGATCTTTATCGACTATTTTGTGGATGACTTTCTAGAGGGTGGGGAGGAATATTAGCATCATCTACATTAAAGGTGTCAGTGCAAGAAGTGTGGGCTACTTCCAGCTACAACAAAATTGAATTGAACTTTAGTGGTCTGCAATCCTGACCCCTATGCTATAGGGGGAGTCTTTAGAGATGGCAAGGGAGTGATAATGACTCTACTCTGGTTCAATAGGGGTAGCAGAATTGTTGACAGTGGAAGTGTCAGCTCTCCATCAAAGTTAGTATGTGCTGGATAGTAAACAATAGCGAGGGTCCTTAATCAGACAGGTGATAAGGGAAATTAGGAGGCTAGCGAAAGAGGTTGAGAGTTGAGGCCACTTTTAAGTGGGTCAACAGGTGAGCAAATGCACTGACAGATGCTTTAGCAAAGCAAGGGGTGACAAAGGAGCAATTATTTTAGGACAATTTGTACTCATAAGATATATGTGGGGGTTGGCTTGGGCTATGAGCCATGTACCATTTAATTTTCTCAATTAATTCAAGTTTATTAGCGATTAAGCTATCAGAGATGGTTACGAGGAGAAGCAGAGTATTTCATGGGCACCAAGGTTTAGGTGCATCCTTAATGACTGAGGGATGCAAAAGATTAAAGAAAACATTCCTAAACTACAGTAGAGGGAACACAATTTGGATTTGGGAACCTGATGGAATCTTCACAGTTCAAGTTCACTCTATTTTAAGGTGGCTACAATTAACAACTWGAGTAGACGATTTTTCATCAAGGCAGATTTGGAGTCAGTGTGGCATTCATGGTGTATGTGGAAACTCATAGGAACTGCTTATCAATGCAGCAGCTTATGTGTAGAGGAATGCAAATGGATACATAATGTTGAATGTGTGGAGTGGTTGAGGAAAAAGCACAGCTATTTTATGGAAAGCAGATACTACCATTTGGTGGTGTTTATCAATTCAAAAGGAGTTCAGGGAAGTGTCATATGCAGATCTTTTGAATCACAACCTTTTATGGATAGTACGGTGAGAACTAATTTTTTCTCAGTACTTGAGCATATGTGGTCTCTCAATGTATGGTCTTGTGCACATGGGTTCATTTTATACAAAATTACACTTTTTGGATGAAATATACCATATCAATTAATAAAAGCATTACCTATAGCTATAGTTTTGCCTATGTTTTTTAGTTTTTAAGTGATTCTTTTAAACAATACTAGCATTATGGGCCTTGTCCATATGTCAATTGAATGATCCTTTTTTCTTTTCCTTCATTGGCAGCATATGCACTATGTGAATACCATTATAATGCATGTACACCTCTGTTTAATGTATGYATGTTCTATTCTATTATTCTTGGTACTTCTATATATAGTCTATGATTTAATTGTGTTCTACCATTTGTTTGATACAATAGTTCCGTTATTAATCCTTTCGTGTGGTTTTCATTAGCTATTCGTTCAGATACACCTGAAGAATGAGCGGAGGCAGCTGGTGGCTCAACTGTTTGCTGGAGTGGAGGGTTGTGTGTCTGCCTCAATGGGGCTTCCTGTTTCTATTAGAACACTGAGTTTATTCTTCTTTTGGTAAGATTTTATGTTCCCAGACAATGGTGGCATTTCTTTTTTGGTTGTTCAAGTGGGAATACACTGTAATAAGGTAACTGCAATTATCATACTTGGAATTAATCAATATTTTCTCATTATCCAATGAAATGTGGATGAATTGTTTAGGGGCTTGGACCATTTCGCAGGAGAAAGCATGGTTTTGGTGTGACTCATATGCACAAATTAGTATTATGTAACTTGTAACTTGTAAATTGGGCCGTGCTGCCTGCGGTCCGGCTCAATGGTCCATGGGCCATGCCATGGCCCAGCACGATTGTATGGGCCGATGGGCTGTGCTGGACTTGGAGTTTCAGGTCAGCGGGTCGGGTCGGCATGGCTTGTACTATCGTGCCATGCCACTAGTGGCCCATGGGCTGGCACGGCTTGACACGACCCATATATATATATTATATATATATAATATAATAATATAAAGTATATAATATATTAATAAAATAAACAAGTTTTTTCAATTTTATTATACTAATTTATTTAATTATTGTATATATAAGCAATTGTATACATCAAAATTCATATAAAATTAAAATTTTAAGTTTTTTTTAAAATAAATAACTTTGGCCTGGTCCACGGCTTGACCTGACCCAAGGCTTGGCCATGGATCAGCCTGGCCCGGCATGGGCCTGTATGGGCTTGGGCCATGGGCCGTGCCAGCCTGACCCCCAAAATATCCCAAAGGAGAGAGGCACGGCTCAGGATGGCCCGGTCCGCATGTGGGCCTTGCCGTGCCGGCCCGTTTGCACCTCTATCCTGATTCTTGAGGCGGTCCAGGGCTTGCCCTAGTCATCATAAGCCTCTAGCAAGGATCAACCTTGTGGTGTGTTCCTTGGTATTAGTTATGAGCTGCGACTTCTGAATGCAAGGGCAATCACTTTTTTCAACAAATTAAGGAATATTTCGAATGTCATGATTCAGGATCCTATCCAACATTGAAAACCTGGAGAAGAGGAAGGGGTGAGGGTAATCAGAGGTTGCCCATGGTTGCCAGCTTTGTATTAATCTTCTACATGCAAGTTTAGTTTCTTGGGTTTTCAGTGTTTWCCATCTCACAGGAGAATATCTAGGTATTTATGCTACGACTCGTGTAAATATTTTGGATGAGTAGGAGTGGAGTGGTCCAGACACAACCCTCTTGTCTTGTGTATAACCCGCTATAAATGGAATTTACTATCAATAGTATACGTTGCTATTAATGGTTCCCAAGACTAAGCCTGCTATTAGTGGAAAATCTAAAGTAAAATCATATACCACTAGCAATTAACCCGTCCAAATAAAAATTGAGCAAAAATTTGATGTACTAGAGGTCGGTTTAATCAGTTCTGAAATCGAATTGAAATTCTTCTGTTTTTTAGCCCAAGTTAAAAAAAGACACTTATCAGTTTTCACATGCACCAAACCATCCAAAAACAATGTCTGATGTAATATTAGCAAGTTTTCTTTTTTTAGTAAAATATTATTAATAACAGCTTTGAATATTGTCAGCSTTCTGACATGTAGCCTCTCTTTTTTATTAGGGAAATTGTCTAAAATTCATCATGAATTTTTAGCATGATTTTTAAAATCATACCAGACCGGACAGTTGGACCGGAAAAATGGGTAACCGGTCAGCCCCCAGGTCCGGTTATATTATAGACTGGAAATTCTTTAAAAAACATTGAAAAAGTCAGAAAACTGCTGACTCGGATGGTCGAACCGCTAAACCATTCGACCTAGGCAGTGGTTCGCGGGTTATAATTTTTGATTTTCGCTGATTTAATAAAATAAAAAAAAATAAAAAATTAAATGACTACCATATCCCCGACCCCAAATCTTACATGCTTAGGGTTAGAACGACCCCATTTTCATTCTAACCCTTCCCTCCTCTCAGCCCTCACACCCAACCGACCACATGCGGCGGCCACACCTACGGCGTCTGACGATGATTCACAGCGACCACGGAGATTCACGATGACCAGTGACGGCAGTGAGATTCATCTACGGCGGCAGCGTTGATTTTGCAGCAGTCCAGCCGTCCAGCAGTAACAGTCACGGCAGTAACAGGTCCGACAACCGACTTGCAGCGGCGGTTTGCGAGGGTTTCTACTTTCTAGCGGCAGTAACAAATTGCAGGCTTGCAGCAGCACTTGCAGCGGCAATCACCTGCGACCAAGCCCGAGCCCACCGTCACACCACCAAGCCAGAGCCCACCGTCGGACTCCAAGCCCTCCTGTCTTTCTAGTCTTCTTTGCGCCAAAAGGCTTCTTAACAGTGGTGTTAATAACTGTATGAGTAGAAGCTTTAGGTGATACAGTCACTTCAGGAGTTTTACGCTTTTCACAAGAATTTTCTTTTGAGATTTCATTAATCTTGACATCAGGTAGTCCATTAGATACATGAGCTGACTGAGAAGCAACAGGAGATGAGGGCAAACCCGCCTCCTCAGCAAAGCTTTTAGCAACTTCTTTTGAAAGTAGTTGCCTATATAAATCAGCAACTCTTGAAGTATATTTGGCCTCAATTTTTCCTCCATCAGTCCATCCATGCTGCTTAAAGAAGACTTGCGCACGGTTGTTTCCCCCAAAACTCATGATCTTCAACTGCTCTGGAGTCCATGAATCAAGATTTGTAGACCTAAAGTGAAATGAAACGAAGTCCTTAAAGCAACATTACTTGAAAAGAAATCCTCAAACAAAACCCTTCAACCAGCATTACTTGAAAAGAAATCCTCAAACAAAGCCATTAAACCAGCATTACTTGAAAAGATCAAGTGGTTTCTACAAGAAAGGGAAAATCCTCAGTTTTCATTTTCTGGTCCTTTTATCCATTTTAATCAGTTTACTTATCTTTCATCTCATATTTTGCCCTCTTTAAATCAGTTTACTTATCTTTCATTTCATATTATGCACTTTTCTGTTTTATTTTTCTGTATTTTGTTGTTTTATTTTTTCTGTTATTTTTGGTGTTTTTCTGTATTTTTTAGAATGTCTTTGTACTTTTTTGTATTTTCTATTTGTTATTTTTGTATTTAGATAGTTTTATTTCTCTTTATTTTTCTGTATTTTTTAGAATTTTTTGTATTTTATTTTTATATTTTCTATGTGTTTGTACTGTATTATTTTTGTATTTAGATAGTTTTATTTTCTGTATTTTTTCTGCTTTATTTAATTTTATGATATTTTTTTATTATTAAATATATGTTTTATTTTTAATTTATTTATGACATCACTGGTCGAACCGTTCGACTTGGACAGTTGAACCACTTAACCAGAAACCGGTCTCCTAATCGGTTTTGTTTTTGGTTCGTTTTTAAAAACCTTGGTTTTCAATATTTCTCTTAAACTCACCACAACTTTTCAAAATGTTTAAAACTCACCATGTCACTAATTTGATGTTAAGCAGACTAACGAGTGTTAATATATTACCATTTTAACCTTCAAAAAAAATATAAAATATATACAAAATAAATTAATGGGTGTTAATATATTACCATTTTAATATTTAGACATGAAAAAAGGAAAAAAGTTCAAAAAATATTTTCAAATATAAAATACACAAAAACATAGAAATTATAAAAAATATAAAAAATTATAGAATTTTCAAATAAAATAAAAAATTATTTTCAAATTATAGAAATTGTAGAAAAAACACAAAAAATTATAGAAAAACGCAGAAACAACAAATAAATAAAAAAATACAGGAAAATTTATAGATCGTAATGTAAAAAAACAGAAATTATAAAAAACATTGGAAATTATAACAAAACACTAAAAATGCAAAAAAAAAAAAGAAAATTGAAAACTGAAAAAGACCATTTTTCCTCTAACTCACTATTCAAGGGTAATTTGGTGATAAAAATTGTTATTTATGCTGACATGGACACCTCTGTTAAGAAGCATTAACAGTGCACTAATGGGAAGTTAGATTTGGAAAATAAAAACTTATTGACATGGTGAGTTTTAGACATTTTGAAAAGTTGTGATGAATTTAAGAGATGTTAAAAAGTTATGGTGAGTTTTAGACAATTTTCCTTTTTATTAAGATATAATTGAATAACATGTCAATGTCAGCATAAACCAATCCGAACTCTCGACTTATCATAATTTAGGAATTGAAACCAACCAGCATTGGACAGCCTTACCTACTGCAGGCTGAGAGAATGAACAAGAGGCCTTAAGCAGTGACAGTTCTGGGTGCAACATCGGAATACCAGTTAAATTTTCGAAGATTGATTTTCCTTGTTTCTSAGGTGAGGAGTGAGGACCCCATGTCTTGGATATTTAGGCTGAGTTTGAAAAGAATACATATGCAAATATGTACTATGCAAATACATACAAAATAATACAAAATAGTGCAAAATATAAGGTTTTGCGCTCTACATATTTGCATTTGTACTCCTTCCAAACTGAGCCTAGGCTAAAAGATATTTCAAATACCATGAAAGATGAAGCCCCTAGTTTTCAAAGTGTATTACTTGCATCCCTTTATATGGAAGGAGAGGCAATTTCATGGCTTCAGTGGTTTTGAATATCCCACTCTCAATGCAACTAGGCAAATTTCACAAATGTACTAATTGCACCAGATTTGGATCAATGACATTTGAATAAGAATATTGTTGGAAATTGGTGGGTTTACAAGATCAAGCGCAAACCCGATGGGTCTATTGAGCACTTCAAGGCYCACCTTTTTGCAAAATGTTACATTGAAGAAGTAGGCCTAGATTATGATGAGACTTTTAGTTTGTTAGTTAAACTCACTATTATCAGGACTATTTTCTCTCATGTTGTTTCTTACCATTGGCCCATTTGTCTACTTGACGTCAATAATGCCTTTCTCAATGGCATTTTACATGAGGAAGTTTATATGAAGTAGCTAGCGGATTTTATTGACCCTCGTCATCCCTCTTATGTTTGCAAATTGAATTGATCATTGTATGGGTTAAAGCAAGTTCCTCGTGCATGGTTCACATGGTTGCGAGACTATCTACTGTCCTTGGGTTTTCATGAGTCCCAGGCTGACACTTCTCTTTGCTTTAAGCATGAGAGGGGTGACATTCTTATCTTACTTGTCTATGTGCATGACATCTTAATAACTGTATATCGGAGTTCATTGCTTTCTTCTCTCATTGCTCAATTGTTCTCCCAATTTGCTTTGAAAGATCTTGATGAGGCCCATTATTTCCTTGGGTTAGAGGTGCATCATACTACCACTGGACTTCATTTATTTCAGCACAAATATGTGCAAGATCTCTTGATGTGCACCCATCTACATGAAGCTAAATCCATGCCTACTCCTATGGCTGCTTCTACTAAATTGGTTGCTGATTTTGGTCATCCTCTAGAAGATCCTTCCTCTTTGGCAGTGTCATGAGTGCACTGCAATATCATCACCCTTACACGACCTGACATAGCCTTTTCTGTTAATAAGCTATGTCAATTTCTCAAAGCTCCCACATCTAAACATTGGTCAGCAGAGCAGCTGCACCGGGCAAAACACACAACTCTGATCAGTGATCAGCGAACTTCTTGTTAATATATCTTTTATCCATGTAAATACATCTCATCTARCAACTTAACAAGAGAGTTGCTCATGTACTTGCATATACTACATGCAAAGGCCATCTGGCCATAACCCATAACCTATCGCCATGAAAATTAAGGCTCCTACTCTACAAATATTTGCTAGTAACTATCAATGAAGCTGCTTCTTCCTCCTTTTGCCAAATAAATTATTAATTATTTAATAACACATTAACAAAATAATTAATAAACAACTTGATATAAATAATTATAATAAAAATTAATTTAATAATTATATTATTTTCAGAATAAAATATTAAAATTCTTAATTAATTCATAAGTATTAATAAAATAAAATATTAATTAATGTTAATAATTAATTAACTAATTAATATCAAATTAATAATTAGTAATAAGTCATAAAAATATTACTAATTAATTACTAACAAATCAATAAATAAATAATTATTTTATAATTAATAATTTAATTACAATAAATAATTAATCATAGAAGAAAAAAAAATATAAATAATTAATATTAAATTTAAAAAAAATTGTTAATTAAGTCATTGATATTAATAATAACTTATAACAAACTAATAAAAAACCACTAAAAAGTCCCACTGAGCCGTTTGGCGACGCCCAAAGTCCGTCAGTGACTCGCTAACACGCTAAAATTGCGCGTCGTGACAGGATTTCTCCCATTAGAAGATAGTCGTGCTCTCAATACAGTAAGCTTCAGAGAAAAGAAAAGTCATTGCGGAGCAGGCGTTGGAGGAGGGGGAGATCTAAACCCTGTGTCCGGTCCGTGATGAACTCGTAGATTCCCAGGGAATATTGATAGGACAAGTTTACATCTCTCGTTATGGATCTAAATCAGGTGAACCATACAAGCAGATCTGTCACCAACATCTCCATTTGCTGCAAATTTTAGTATAATTTTCACTTCCATCTATGTAGCAGAGTCTAACTTTCTTGTATTAGGGCAACCTATCTGTTTCTACTCACATAGTTCTCTTCAATTTCACTAATGATCAATTTCGGTACGCTATGAATTAGGGTTATTAAGGCTGCTTGGTATCGCAGTTCTTACAGTTCGATCTCATTTTTGTAAACTCTGAGGCAGTTGAATGTTCTTTGCTATGTTAAAATGCTAGTAGTTAGAACTTCTGAGACCACCAAATGTTTCACTTAACACTGTTTGGTATAATTGTTGTAAGTTATCAGGTTTTGAACGTTGTATTGGGTTGTAGTTCACACTTTTGATATAATTATCATTAATTCTAAGGAATTCGAGTATTGTCCTGTTAATTATGTGAGCTTCACGGTTTATAAATCTGTTCCCTGAGGATTGTATTTCGCTTTTATTTCTTGGCTGGATTTATGTCTTAACAATGTCATTGCATGGGAGTTCGATTTTTTGTTGTATAGAAGGACATCCGGGATGTCTCCGTTGTCCGTGCCTACTAGAAGCTAAAAGACTTCCTAATTTTTCCATTCCCACTTCCTACGTATGTCGGAAGGGGCTGGTCTGATGTATTTAATGGATGTTTAGGCATACAAACATTGTGGTTCAGAAAGTCATAAGCACTGCCTATTATTTTTCTACCAATGCAAAAAAAGTATGATCAAGCCAAGATAATCTGGTTTTTGGCCCTTGATGTGATTTGGGTGGCCATCCCTGATTAAAAGGTGGATTGGCRATTCAGAATTTGGATAAGTCTAGTTGGATGTCCTAATTGGCCCTAACCATTTTTCCCGCTTTAGAACTATATTTGGCTTTTTGGTTTTGATGGATATTGTTTACACCTGTTATTCCCTCTTTAAGTAATCTAGTTTTACTTTATGGTTCAGCCTGCAGGAGAAAATTATGCCAACCCAAGGACATGTTTCTTTCATGTTATCTTCAAGGTCCAATATTCTATCTTTTGCTTTTGACAAGTTTTGTTTGCCTAATTCCATTTGATATGTAACAATCTGTTTTTATACTTTGACAGGCTGCAGCTTTGGCATTTTACATTCTTTCGGCCCTTTTCTTTGACAGCTTTGTAATCATTTTTGTGGTTACGGTTCTTCTTGCTGCTCTTGATTTTTGGGTAGTGAAAAATGTCAGTGGACGAATACTAGTTGGTCTGAGGTGGTGGAATGAAATAAATGATCTGGGTGAGAGTGTGTGGAAGTTTGAGTGCCTTGACCAGGAGGTTGTACACATATAGTCTTTTGTATATCAATGATGTGCTTTTATTTGTCAGCAAAAGTTTGTTCAATCTTGTATTGGATTGCTACATATTTTAGTGGTTACCTGTTTCTCATTCTTTCTGCTGATTGTTATTGTGTCTGCACTGCAGTCATTGGCTCGAATGAATAAGAAGGATTCATGGCTTTTCTGGTGGACCCTTTATCTTGCAGTAAGTTCATTGATGTTTTGATTATTATATGGGAAACCCAAAGTTCATACTGAAAAGGAATTAATGACATGTAGAGTGTTTGGAGGAGGGTGTATCAGTGTCATTAAGCCAAATTTGGTGTCTGTTGCATACAACATACAGGAATAGGATCTGTGTGCTTACTTTTTGCATACATGTAACATGATTGATGTTTCAACAATTATGTTCCTTGTTACCATCTTGCATTCACTATGATGGACCTTAATATATGGAACTAATATATAGTATGGGCTTCAAGATGGAACTTGTGATTGTGTTATATTTCATTTTATATCTAAAAGGCTGAACCATTTGTATCTGTTTCATCCACTGGTAACATAAGGTAGAACTGATGAATATGCAGTGTTATCTTATGCATTTTTGTTAACTTCCTTTTTGGATATTAGATTTCTATTATTATCACTCTTACTCACTGTGCAGGCAGCTGCCTGGATCTTCCTTGGAATATTTTCACTCATAAGGTTTCAGGCAGATTATCTCTTAGTTGTAGGAGTTTGTTTGAGCCTCAGCATTGCAAACATTGTTGGCTTTACTAAATGTCGAAAAGGTATGCAACCATTTTAACTTTCTCAGAAGTCGATATGCATGCACTGTTGCATTACATGGGCATGATTACTTGGATTAGGACTGATCCTTCAATGGATCCCACCAYGGWCCMTKGAGATTAATTGGGCCTAACTCAGCTTGAAGCATGATAGTCATTGTTCTTTTATTGTATGAATTCTGAAGGTGGTCTTTTAGTTATATTACAAACCTTAGTAAGCCACTAGACTTTTTTATTTTTTTATGGGAAACAGTTACTTTCATTAAAGATAATTAAACAAAAATAGAGCCGTCAACCACCCAAGTACAGGGTGCTGACCCCATTGGTATACTCTTGAGTTACAGCACTGTACAAAACAAGTTCTTTCTAATAGTCCCTTGCTTTGCCAATTGGTATGCACTTGAAAATTTTTCTCTTTGACGTTTTAGTGGTTTTTAGTCTCTTCCTGTGGCTAATGTATAGAACTAGGAGGTTCCCTCATAGGTGGACCTACTTTGAAGTATTCCAAGAGTCTGGTATTGGCTTTCTGTGAAGTCCATTAAATTAATTTATAATTCCTTGATGATTAACTTAGGGTTGGAGCTTAGTCTCTTGCCTAGCGTAAAACTTGGGAATTGGCATGTACATAGAAAGGGAGAGGGGTCCCTAACACTTTCCCTCTCTCTTCCCCAACATATGTAGATAGCCTTTCCTAGGTGTTGGAGTCATTACATATCAAAATAAAAACTGTTTTCTAAATTTCGACCTCAAGAGACTCACCACTCCCAATCTTTTTCAATGATGGGTGGTGGATCCAACACTTCAGCCAAGAAGTGGGCCACCTTCTGGTGCTCACAGGTTTGTGACTCCACCGGGGAGTATGGGAACAGTGTGAATGCCATTTCCTTCACTAGTTTCAGATGTAGCAATCGATTTCAGTCCTCAAATGGTAATTTAGTGATTTCAACTACTATAAGTGTTAAGTGCTGAGTGGTAATTTGTTTTGGCTTGAAAGCAAATAATAAAAGTAATTCCAATTTGTCTGCTCAAAATTTATAATATTATCTGGATTTAATCAAATTGGACCTTGAGGCTTTCAAGCTTTAGGTTCATCCCCTGCTGTTTCTTTACCTTTGTAGGATGCTAGACTGATTCCTGATATTGGAGGTAACACTGACTTGGTATTTCGGGGTTTTCAATTTCTGGTTATCATTATGCTGATAGGTTGGGTGAAAATTCATGACAGAGGCCAAAGGTTCTTTTCTAGGGATCATTTTAACTAAAGGGGAATTTACTCATGAAGCTGGACTTTATTTGAATCTCTTAATGAAACCAACCCGGGTTAAGCTAAGAGTGATCGTTTGAATATGGTCTTGTGTTGGATTAAATATGAACCTGACTTGTATTGGCTTTCTGTGTATGTTTGCCCTTCTAACTGGTATTGACAATAATTAGTGCTGGATGGTCAATTTAGCATGATGTTATGACTGTTTATAGGGCTTTTGGGATGTTTTTCTGACCAAGAAGGCTGACTATGAAAGATTTTGTTCCCGCATCTGGTGGCCTTTGACTTTTTCTCTGTTCCTTTCCTGCTTCAGTTCTTAGATACAGGAAAAATAATTTCATTCTGAGCTTATAAACCAATTTATATTAGCTTCCTGATCATGTTTTGAGCTTGGATATAAGCTAATTATAGCCTGCTTCTATTCACCTTTCTCTTTTGCTGTAGTTTTCAAATGAAAGAAGATGGTTTCGGTTTTATGCTCATATTTGCTTTAGTGTTTTTTTTTTTTTTTTTTTTTTTTTTAAGTTAAAAAAAGAGAGGGCTAATTCTGCTGGCATTACTCTTTGGTTTGATCCAGGTTTTAAAATAAAGGAAGGTGTTAACATGGTAATCAGCTCCTTGTTTTTTAAAATCCCTAATGTTATGTGAACCTGCCTTCATTAGTATCTTGCATGATCTCTTTATCCAAGACCCACTGTCAACACTTTGGGGCAGATTGATTCCAACCCCCTCTGAGTTGGTATGAAATGAGAATTGTCAGTTTATGGTCTTCACACCCATTTCCAGTTTCTAATTATGATTTGAAGCCAGAACTTGAAAAATATTTTGGAGAGGGGAGCGCTTGCATTATTGAAGCTTGTTGGCTTTCCAAGAAACTTTCTGGTTTCAAGTTGCAACTTTCAAAAATAAAAAATAAAATAAAAAAAAACAAGAAAGGTAAAAATGATATCCCATTACCATCTTCAATTTATGTTTTTGAACTCAGATTGTTTTTCTAGGCCAAGTCATTGTGGAGTTCAGAATGGAATTATCTGAATTGACTCCTTTTCTCCTGTTTTACTGAAGAAATAAGACTTTCTTAAGGTCGTTCTACACATGCATTATAATAGGATTTCCAGATGATGTTGGCAATTGAAATTGACCTGTTCTTGGTTATTAGCAGCCACAGTCCATGCTGATTTTCCTTGGATGTTGAACTATATGGTATAGGCAGTGGCTGATCAGCTTTAGAATTGTCATTATAGTTGTTGATTTAATAATTGTCACAGTTTTTTTTCCTCGTTCACTTTCCTTTTCAAAGTTATGAGTGTTTCTTTGAAGTTTCCTTCTTGTCGTATGTCTGCATGCTCTCATTGTCTATGATGGAAATAACAGTTCAGAAAGAGAGTAACAAAAGGAGAGAAAAAGTAAAGGGAAACACAGGGGGAATGACTCTTTGATAGTTGGATGAGGAGAGAAAGTCACCTCTAGTTATTATCATACGATTGTTGCATATTGTGCTTTTGTTGCTTGAACAACTATTCCCAACTTGTATTCAGGTTTTAAGTTCAGACCCTGAGCTTGAGCTTTCTTCTTCTTCTTCTTCTTTTTTTTTTTGCTTTCTTTTTGAAAAAAAAAAGAAAAGAAATCATTGCAATCCTTGGCAAAACCAGAGATTCCTGTTTCTATGATTAATAAAACAAGTGAAAGAGTTTCCTGTTTCTATGATTAATAAAAGAAGCCAGTAAAACCCTTGGCAACACCTGAGAATGCCAAACATGTGTTACTCAATGGGTCAATGGTGAATTACCAAAAATTAGTTTGATGAAATAACTACATTTGCTTACTTTCAAAAAATGTTGCATTTTCTTTATGACATAGTGTTTTCCCTTTCTTGGACAGGTCATTACTTTATGTATCTAACCCCAATTGTCCATTCCATAGCTTAGCTCATCTAAATAAATCCTTACCCAACTATTCTGGGTCAACTACAAAACTCTTGTTTCACCATTCATCCACACAGACTGATCATATTCCATAAAGTGCAATAAAGACTGACAGTGGCCATTTAAGTGGGTTGTTTTCTTTTCTTTTCTTTTTTCTTTTCTCTGTAGATCTTCTAACCGAATGATGGTTGCCCAATATCTGACATGTATTCTGTTAAAACTATTTGTTATAGACAACCTTGGTCTATCCCAAAGATACTTAGATTTATTCATTCAAACCTTATTCTCTAAGACCAATTAATGTGTAGGGTCCATGCAACAAACAGATTGCATCTTCTTCTGAGTTACCTTTGTTCTATGTGCACATTCTGGTCATTTCTTGTCTGGTTTGAATACCGTTTGCTATTATGGTAGCCTTCTATGGGTCCAACCATCTTTTGTTTTAATGGTTAGCTCATATGGGCCAACTATACACTTGGTTAGCAATTTAGGATTAGGCTAGTGGAGTCTGTCGATTGTGTTTTTACTAGAGAAGAATATTTGTTTTCTTTTGCAAGATTATCAAGGGTAGGACTTCTATCAAAAACAAGGGAGATAGATAACAGGCCAAGTATTGGTAGCTAATGAGTGTTCAGAAGAGGTAAAGAGGATGGGAGAAAAAGGGATGGATTTCACTGTGAGTAAACAGTTTTTGGTGAGCTCATTTTATAACGGGTTGACTAAGGTGGAAGATCAAGATTTCCCTATGAAAATAATCTGGTGCAAATTCATTCCTTCTAAAATTGCATTCTTCATCTGACTGGCTTTCCTCAAGAAGGTTCAGATTAAAGACAATCTAATGAAGAGAGGTGTAGCAATTGACCCACCAGTGTGTGCCCTATGTAACAGGGTGGATGAATCCGTTGACCACCTGCTATTCACTGTGAGTTCTCTGGGATGTTGTCTGAACTTGGTGGAAAGTTTCTGCAAGGGGTGGTAGATTCAAGAATTGAGCAAAAGAGGGAAGGCTGTTTGGCAAATGATTCCAGGATTTGTGTGGTGGTTGATATGGCAGGAAAGGAACTCTAGAATTTTTCACAACAAAAGTAGTCAGGTGGAGGGTGTATGGCATAAAGTTGTGGGCAAATAATTCTCCTGGTCTTTAGCTCAGATCAACTTAGGTGTTGTTTGATAAATCTGAAATTTCAGATCTGAAAAGTTAAGAAGATATTTTTTTTGTCTGAAATCTGAAAAGAAGCATAATGCTTTTCTACTTTTTAGAGGCACTGAATCCATAAGTTTGTTTGTGTTGGATCAACCTTTACCATCTGAAATTCACTGATTTTACTATTTTACCCCTAGAACATTACTATTTGGAAATGTTGAGTTCAATTTGCATTATCTCATAAAAAATAATTTTCAACCTCAAAATAATATTGAAACAATACAAATAAAAAATAATAAATTAATAATTAAAAATTACTAATTAATAAATGAAATGATTAAAATTAAAAAAATAATTAATGACTATAAAAATATTAAAATGTTTAGTTCTATTCACATTATTAATTATAAATTATTTTTATAAGTGCAAGTTGTAGCGGCGGTGGCGGGAAGACAGCGGGGAGAGAGAGAGAGAGAGATAGAGAGAGAGATAGAGAGAACCACTGCTGCTGAGAGTTGCAGCGGCGGTGGTATGAAGACGAGAGAGAGTGAGAGGTCGAATGGGGTTGGGGTATTTTTAACTTAAGGCTACGTCTGAAACGCGCCTGAGCGTGTTAAGTGACAGGTCTGAGTCTCAAAATTTCAGATCTGAAAAAACTTTTCAGATCATATTTCAGATGCAACACCAAACAAAGGTGGCGTCTGAAAAGCAACATTTTCAGATTCAGAGATCTGAAAAGTGCTATCAAACGCCACCTTAAACATTCGAACCATAGTTCCTACTTTGATTTTGTATATCTGTTTGTTAATGCTGAAGCCTGAAGGGATAGTGGCTTAGTTCATTGTATGTTCCCCTGTTACAATATCTAGTTGTAAAGGGTATTTTATTTTCCTTTTAATGAAATTATTACTTTACCAGTTTATCTCTTCTCAAAAACGAAAGAGAGAAAAAGGGATGGATTTCCAAGCTTGATTTGGAGAAAGTTTTTGATTTCGTATTGGTCTTTTTAAAGCTTGTTTTATTCAAGTGTCACTTGGGGGTAAAATGGAGAATGCAGATTTGAGATTGCTTACAATGTTGTCACCACTCAGGTCTAGTAAATAGTGTGGTACATGACCTTTCCCCAAGCAAATGAGGACTATAGCAACCCTTTATCTGCATTATTGTTCACTATGATTGTAGACATCCTTAGCAGGCTGATCACTAGGGCAAAGATGGTGTAGGCTTAATTAGGTGAAGAGAGATCAGGTAGTGGTAATTGACTTGAAATTTGTGGATGATATCATTATTTTCTGCCATGGTAGATGGAATGAGTGAGGAGTTTGCGTTTATTGCTGAATTGTTTTGAATACTCAAATCTAGAAGTGAACATGGGTAAAAGTTGCATTCTCAGTCTGAATTTAGAAGAGGGTGTCTTGGGAAGGTTTGCCAAGATACCGGGGTGTTCAATGGCTGGTTGGCCTATCAAGTATTTCTTCCTTTTGGAAGAGGGGTCTCCCTGTAGAGGGCAACCCAAAATCTTTTTCCTTTTGGAATCCAATTTTGGATAGGTTTTCAAAGAAAAGAAGGTTGCATGGAATTACACACATCTTTAGGCGGTAACCTTAATAAATTCAACCCTCAGAAACTTACTCATCTATTATCTCTCATTCTTTAAAATGGTAGTTTCAATTGAGAACATTGAGAAAATTATGAGGGATTTCTTGTGAGAACTAGAGGATTCTAAGAAATCTCTTGATTAATTAGGAAGCAATTTGTAAAATGCAAAGAGGAAGGGGGGTTGGGTTTAGGAAGACTCTAAATAAGAAACTAGTCTTTGTTAGGCAAGTGGCTATGGCAACTTACAATAGATTTGGGCAAATTTTGGCACAAAGTTATCAAAAGCATTCATGGAGTGACTGTCACCAATGGTTGGGACATGAGCTTTAGCACCAAGGTGTGGACAGAATCATATATTTTGGGGTAAAATTTGCCGAGAGGCAACTTGTAAATGGAGCTATCCAATTGTGGTGCTTAGCAGTTAGCACATTTTTCTACTACACTTTTACGGATGATAATAAAGTTTTGAAATGTTAAATAAAATTGTTTTCTTACTTCAATTAATATAATGGATGTTGGAGCAATTGATAAGTGCTTGAGGTACGGTAACAAGGTTAGAGCTCAAAATGTAGTTATAAGGTCCAAAAAAAGGAAAAAAAAGCTCATAACCTATTCAGTGATTGAAAAGACGTGCTCAAGTACATAGGCGAGGTGCATTTTAAGGCCTGCATGCTTCAGCCAAAGGTGCGTGTGCCTTTGTTAGGTTTTGCGCTTTTTGCACTTTTTTTAAGAATGGTATTCATTTCGTTCAGTGGTGCTCTGAGGGTCCCCTTTTTTTTCTGATATTCATTTCGTTCTCCTAATATATGGATTATTTTTTAAAGAAAGATAAGGAACTAAAACTAAATAATAAAATCCTTTTTTTTAAGTAATGATTAGGAATTTAAAACCCTAGCATGGATTTATATGGGCTTAGCCTAGCCAAATTGAGAGTGAATTTTTATTTTCTTTCTTCCTTTTTTTTTATTTATTTACTGGGCTGCAAAACAGTGGTATGCCCAAAACCCCTAAACCCCTCATCTTGGATGAAGGTGGTAGTACTCAATCCCAGGTTTACGTTACAACCAGATTTTACCAGCAGGTTTGCTGGCACCTTCAATTTTAGAGAGTGCTCTTGCTTGTGGCTTTTTTGATTTCTATTTCTGATCTTTAATTGGGCATATATTTTATTTCTCAAGTTAATATTGCTTTCTATTTTTCCAGATGCCAAGAAGCAGATTCAAGCATTTGCCACCCAGACTATCGCTTCTCGTGTTTCATCAACAATTCAGTCAGCATTTAGTGTTGTTTGAATCATTTATACAGAAAATTGAAACAGATAGAATGAAATTACTGAATACATAGTTGAGAACTTGAGATATTGTGTGGAGAAAGTTGGCACCTGGTTTGGTGGGAGTGATTATTGAAATTTCTTTGGTTCTTGCCCGACTTTTGTGGAAATATGTAGCAGAAATACATAGCAAGGTCGCCTTTTCCCAAATTTTCACTATCCATTCATATGCTTGTGGATTTCTGGATTGGGATTTCCTGATGTTTTGTATAATCGGAGAGTTCAATGGAAGAACAGTGTTTAAATCTGCTGGGGGAGTCCCAATGTCTTTGGTTTCACACTTTCACTTGCATGGTAATGTAAAAGATTACTGGTTGCCCTATGGTTCATTCCTATTCTGCTAATGGGACACGTGTCTGTTGTTAGATTAACTTTTGTTCAGTGTAGTTTAACTTTTTGGATCTTTTACTTAATGTGTGTGTTTTTTTTAGTTTAACATGCATTTGGGGGTGGAGGAGCMCTAAATTGGTTCAATAAAATAAAAAAAGCAACAAAAAGCAGTATCGATTCGCCCGATACGCCCCTACCGGCGTATTGGGCGTATCGATATTTTGAACCTTAATCGTTGTATTTACGTTTAATGGCTGTCGGCTGGGCTAGTTTGTAGCTTGTAGGGTCTACTGACTACTCTACTGAAGGTATCACTCTTCAGTCTTCACTCGGTGTGCTGTAATGACAAATCACAAATGCATTGAAGTCCTGGTACTTGAACTTTGGTTGTGTTCGTGACTGCAGGGTGGATGTGAGCTGAGTCGACTTGAATATTTAGCTATTCAAGTTCCGCTTGATTTTGAGCTGGAGGCGTGAGTTCGAATTTGCTTTAGTTCGAAAGCTCGTAAATTTGTGTTCAGCTTGGCTTGAACTCAATTGCAAGTCAAACTTCTTATAAAAAATAAAAATTATACATATATTTTTTTTATTGTGCATACAAAATATTAAGAATTGTAAAAATTATTTATTATCATACATACAAAAAAAATAAAAATATTATCTATAATATTTATTATTATACATATGAAAAATAATGCATATATAAATTATTTTTATTTTACATACAAAAACTAAGAATTATAAAAATTATTTATTATTATACATAAAAAATAAAAATATTATTATACATATAATAAAAATTAGGCTTGATTAGGCTCGTGAGTCTAATGAGCCGAGTTTCATTGGGCTTAAGCTTGGCTCGATTAACAAATGAGCCTATATGTCGGGTCCGAGCTCGGCTCAAAACTTGGTTTAAATCGAGCCGAGCTCAAATAGCTTGTGAAAAGCTCGATTCATTTCTACCCATTGATTGGGGATTTTCTTGGTCTTTTATGTGTAAATCATGGATTGCCCTTGCCCCTTGAACTTTGCTTGGTCACTAGGGGGTAATGAGTAATGACACTTTGCTGAGTTGCTCTTGCCCTTTGAACTGCAACCGGATTATACACAACTAGGGGTGAGAACAAATCGAGCTATTTGAGCTCGACTTGTGAAAAACTCGATTTTGCTCAGTTTTAATCAAGCTTCACCCGAGCTTGTTCCCGATATATAGGCTTGTTTACTAATCGAGCCGAGCTTGATCCTAGTGAAGCTTGGCTCGTGAGGCTCGCAATTAGTACCCTGTACTTTGGAAAAATTCTCGATTAGTACCTTGTACTTTGGGCCTAGTGCCACTTTGGTCCCCAAACTTTAAAATGCGACAATTCCGTACCCAAACCTTTAAAACTTGACAATCTAGTACCTACTGTTATCTAGTTGATAACCAGCCGTTAAGTGGCATTTGAAAAAGACAGAAATGTCCTTCGAGTGTCATCTAATTTTCTTTACCAACCATCCAAACATTGACAAAAAATTAACAGTCTCAAATCCTTGCCTCTTCTATTCAAGAAAGTTGGGTCACTAGAATGCCCACTCAAACGTGACCCCAACTTTCTTGAATGGAAAAGGCAAAGATTTGAGACCGTTAATTTTTTTGTCAACGTTTAGATGGTTGATAAAGAAAATTAAATAACATTTGAAAGGCATTTGTGTCTTTTTCAAATGCCACTTAACGACTGGTTAACAACTAGTTAATGGCAAGCAAGGTTCAAAATATCGATACGCCCGATATGCCAGTATGGGCATATCGGGTGAATCGATACTGTTTTTTTAAGTTTTTTTTTTTATTTTTTATTTTTTTTGAAACTGGTTCAGTGGGGCCGGTTTAGGTCTCCTCCACCCCCTGAACCAGTCAGACCCCCGATACACCCACTATAGGGGCATAACGGAGGGGTCCCGGAACGATACATATCGGTCGAAACTGATCGATACGTGTCAATACTTTGAACCTTGACAATAGGTATTGGATTGTCACGTTTTAAAAGTTTGGGGACCAAAGTGGTAATAGGCCTAAAGTACAGGGTAGTAATTGGAAAATTTCCCTTTATTTTTTATAGGAAACTTAACTCATAGTCGAGCTTGAGCCTAATATTATTTTGGTGAGTTGAGCTCGAATAACCAGRTATTGGAATCGAATCCACCCCTACACCCAACACGAGATAGCCCTTCCCAGGGAGCAGAGTGACAAATATAAGCAAAAATACCAAAAGAACCTAAGAACCCCTTAAATCAATAATTCAACCTATATTAGCTAACCAATTCAGTCACAAAATTTAACTTCTCTAAAAGATACGAGAATATTGAATGCTAAGGCTTATCTAGATGCAGACAAGATAGCATTCTTTAAAGATAGTTCCTTAATACTCCAACACCAAGGTGGGTAGTAAACCTGTTTATGGGTTGTGCTTGAGCTTAATTTTTACCAAAATTTTAATGGGCCCGGCTTGAATCCCAGCCCGTAAACAGGTTTTGTGGGGATGTAGGCAATAAGACCCTTAAGTAAAACTATCAATCACTACTTTAAATCTCCCTTGATAATTAAGATCTTTCATGGCAAGGTAGAAGATAAGCGATGATAATTTGTAATGCTGCCCACGCTCTTGCAACATTAAAAAGGCAAAGTAAAAAAAAAAAAAGGAAAAAGGAAAAGAGATGCATTTCGTAATGCATTACATTGGATTGGAATCCAACTGTTAACCCATATGGCCATATCTGTTATAAACCCCATTATCACCACTTTGATATGAGGAAAGAGATGCATTTCGTAATGCATCTTCAGCCTGAATATAAGGTAACAACTAACAAGGTCAAATATCTTGTGTAGGAATATTATATCATCTCTTGATACTATTCTTGGTGAGCTACTTCATGAAGAAACTAGAATGGTTACTCAGTTGACAATAAATGCTATTTTTTATTTTTTTTGTTTTGATAATAAAAGTAAGGGAGCTACAACAAAACTGGGGTTAGTACGTCCCCACAAATCTCTATAACAAATTAACACAAACTGCCAAGGCAATTTACAAAGATTCAGAGATACACAACTATCACCCAACAACTGGGCTTCATGAGCATCCAATCAGCGGCCTGATTTGCTTCTTGATAAATATGCTTGTAGATGATCCCCTTCCCGCACCTCTCGTTGAGCTCCCAGCAGTCTTGAATGATACTTAGATTCCACGCGCACAGACTGGATTTGTTAAGACAAGAAAATCACCCTCAATTGTGATAAGAAAGTTTGAGAAGTTCAAAGGTAAATTATGGGATTCCCAGGCAGCCCAAGCTTCCGCCCTATTGATGGAGGTAAAGCCCAATTTATAAGCTTTAATATCTAGAACTGCACCCAAGTGATTCCTAGCAAGAGTCGCAATAATGCACAAACTGTCCTCCATCAGARATGCATCAAAATTGATTTTGATATCACCATAATTCGGGGAATTCCATCTTATGAATTTATAATCTTTGTTTACACCATCCCCATTAGGCTTCTTTGAAAATTCTTGAAATTTCATGAACGAATCGAGAGCCTTATCAATGACCTTAAAAGGAGGAGTCGATAGATTTTTGAAAACCCTCAAATTTCTGCACTTCTACTAAAGGAAGGGGGAAATCCATCATATGGATGGCCAAACCATGATGGATGGTAGGGCAAAATTTCAAAATTTTCTTTTTTACCTTTACAGAAATCACATTCACAGTTTTAGAAAAACTGCATTTTTCAAAGATCGTTCTTGCACCGAATTGGACCAGATTTAAAACCAAAAGAAAGGGAGAAGAATACCTGATATAGATTCCACACGTGTAGTTCTTAAAGTGGGTGTTCACGCCCAAAGAGGATACCAAAACCAGCTTCCACTAAAGATGGCGCAGCTTAGGGTGAAGTCGGTTTAGCAACACAGTCTTTCAACAAGAATTGCAATCCAACAGTTTGGATCGAGCAAGGGATGTGAGCACGATGCAAATCTGATTTTTCTTGCAAAATTCAGAAACCAAGACTGATCAAGATCAGTCACCAGGTGGAGAATGAGTTATGGTTTGGATTGCAAGAGCAGAGGGAGAAAACTGAGAGCAGAAAGGTAAAATCTAGAGCAGTTCGCCCTCCTCTATTTATAGGCCTTAAAGATCAGCTTCTCCTAATCCAATTAGGAGCTTCCTAATCCAAATCTTTATTTGGATCTGGACTCCTTAAGTGGATAAGAGTTATCTTATTATCCCATTGCTGATCTAAGCCCATATCCATACCCAAAGTCGCCCAAGTCACATGACAACTTCTTAATTAATCCAATTAATTATGGGCCTTAGGCCCATTAAGCAAATAGGCTCACATTCCCTTTTAGTTGTTGGCCAATTTGTCTCTCTTTGTATGGCGTGGAACCCCAACATTGACTTCATTTGGATTCAGCCTAGTTTCTGTGATAAAGCCTAGCCTAATTCACTGCTGAGCATAGTGAACCCCTGAGTCCATTAGTATGGGCTCTTAATGGGCCCAACATTTACACTAAATGGTCATTGAGTCCAGCCATCCTATGAAGGCCCAAGGACAAAGGTCTTAAGTGGGATTAGCTCATTAGGTATAACAACCCTAAATGGTCTTACACTTAACCTCTCAGCCCTTAATGATCAAACACTGCTTGACAAGGGAGGACCTCTCCCTCGGCTGCAAGGTGCAGTGTTGCACTGTCCATTCGGATGGATCCTGGGAATTAAAACCTTTTGCAAACCTTTTTTTCTTAAAACATAATATATATAAATATATATATATATATTCATATAAATATATTTTGCAAAACAAATCTCAAACAAGTTTGAAATCGACTGCCGACAGTTTTAGTTTCCATCAGAGAGAGTGCAGTCCCGATCATTCACTTTGTCCGACAAAGGGGCTGATCCTGTCACTATGATCATCCACTCGTGTGAATTCTCAAACTGCCCCAACATACCCAGGTTTTGAACCCCTCTAAGGATCTCACTGATTGGCATGTCAAAGACAGTCCAATTCGACACCCAGTGCAGTACCATAATCGAGTTTAGGGGTTAGGTGTAA